TGAATCTATCAGACACAAAATGTATTCAAATATATAATAAACGTAATAGACAAATGTATTGAAATATATAATGAATGTAATAGACAAATGTATTTAAATATATAATTAATGTAAGAGACAAATGTATTGAAATATATAATGAATGTAAGAGACAAATGTATTGAAATAAATGTAATAGACAAATGTATTTAAATATATAACTAATGTAAGAGACAAATGTATTCAAATATATAATAAATGGAAGAGGGAGAAGTATTGATGAAAAGGCATTATAATTATAATTAAGAAAAAGCCCCAAAACCAAAGAAAATTTTACAATTAAACGGAGGAGAAAACTTGAATTTGCACAGAAAAATAAAAGATTTAGATGATGAGCATGAAAATTTAAAATATTGGACGATTGGTAATTTTTTTTAATCACTTACCCTCCAAATAAATGTCTTCATTGAACCCCCCTCCTCGAATACTGAACGAACACTGATGCATCTATTATTGTTTATAAAATCCCCCAAATAGAACTGGTTTCAATATGTACACAAAGTATACAAAACAGCAATTGACTTTCCTTGCCTTACATTCATTGATCCAAGGGATCCTTAAATATCCCTGAAAATAGATGTATGCTGATTGGTCGTGTACAGTAATTATACAATATACACAATTAAGAAATTAATGGAGTGGGGTGTCAAATCATAAAATTGTTGCAGACAAAAAAATATTTACTTCAGATTTTTCAAAACCACCTTAGACGTAAAATATTCGGGTTTAAGTGACACATACATGATGTCAGCTGCGCTCTGGTCATAGAGCTTTAAAGGGACAGACCGGCTATGTAAGGTAGTTAAACTGAGTATGCAGTGTTGTGGACAAATTCTTTAGGATTCATTTGAGACATATAAAACTTGTTAAAGATCTGTAAATCCTGAGTTTGAGCGCAAAATCGACGTTAAAAATCGTACTTTTTCAGAATTTTTTAATTATGAAATAACGACGAAAAAATGTAAACAACATTCTACAGTAAACTAATTAGATTTTTTGGAACAAGTTGAGAAAAGAAAAATGAACTCTAATCATCGAAAATAAGTAATCATATTCCATTATTAGTTTCAATAATCTCTCTTTAATCACAAAGATTTTCTGCAGATTTTCTGGAATTTTTATTTAAAACACGACAGAATCTGAAGAAATCTGCGAACAAATTTATAGAAAATAAGAAATTCAATATAATGATGAAAAAGGATATAATTAATTCAAACTTCGATTTATTGACATATTTCTTTTGAGAAATATGTTCCTAAACATCTAATTGGTTTACGATTGAATTTTACTATATTTTTCGTCGTCTTTATTTAATAATTTAAAAAACCGTTTCTGAAGACGTATCCACCCAAATTCATGATTTTGAACGTCGCTCAAACTCAGTAACTGTACACGCGTGGAAACGTTTTATATGTCTCAAATAAGCCTAAAGAACTTTTCCACAACACTGCATACTCATTTTAGCTACCTGACAAAGCCGGTCTGTCCCTTTGAACACCAATTTAGATATATACTCACGGAGTTGTCTGTCTTCGTTGTATGCAGTGTATCATTGTGAATTGGCCTTCTCCTCTCTCCATGGAGGGTCGCTTGACATTCCGCCTACGTTCATCTAAGCTTCAAAAACATCTATTTTGACCAAATGCTTAATCCTAATATATTTCTTAATTAAGATACCGTACATGTAGTTTTCCACAAACTTTAAAATCAGATGACATGGGATAACAAAATTTGAGTTTGATATGTCAAACTTGAATAGTATTGATGTAACAAATTGATGTAGTTTGACATATCTAAGATTTACGACAAAATTTGAGTTTGTTGCGAGGCATCAGTTCCTTTATATGCTACTAAACTACATAATTCACCAGGACCAGAAACTTTTGAACCATGTGCTAAGGGTTGGAAGCTTCCAGGATCAGAGTAAGTATTCTGAGGTGAAATGATACAAAAGAATTAAGTCTTTGCCAAAAACTCAAATTGTCTAATTCCTTATCTTTGCAAAAACGTTTGATATTTCATACTTGAAAGGTCTACGACATTGGATTGCAAATTAATATCGATCAGAAAATTTGAGTTTTTGTCAAAGGCTCACTAACTAACAGCAAAAATATTTATATTTATTGCTAAGTGTTAGGCATTCTATTTTAACCCTATTCAGACTGTGATGCCTTCTGTCGTTTTTTTGACATAAATCAGTATTGGTCTGAGGCTGTTCAAATTTTTTTACTTTTCTAACTAGTGCATGACCCTCTCTTTATGCTAAAAGCTGGGCTTTTATACCTACTGCCTGAGTCCTCTGCAGGCATACTAACTAAATGTCTTAATTTACCTTTATCAGACTAAATCTAAATTTAGACCTACTTCCAGTCATTGGATTTCAAAATTTTTAGATCTTTGGAAAGCCTCAACACAAGGAAGCAGATTGGACAATTTTTGCAAAGAAATTTTGCGTAGATTTTTGCATATACGCCCTAAAAATTTTGCAAATATTTTTGCATATTTAAATTCACTGGGTCAAGGATTTTTCAAACATGTATAATTTTTTTATGGTTCGAGCACTTTTTGTATTTGCACATTTTTCGCTAAAAAAACTTGATTTTGCAATTTTTCAGATTATTAATGTGGAGCCTAAGGGCTTTCTAAACATGTATCATATGTTAAAGATTTTTATCACAATAAGGAAATAGAACCCCCCCCCATTCTTTTTTTTTTTTTTGGTAAATTCAATTTACAACGGAGACACAAATCTGCAAACTTTAACTCATATTTTTGTCAAATTGAATGTTTTGCAAAATGTTAAAAGTTATTTTATGTGTTAGGGACGTTGTTTACCTGAATCCTAAAGGTGGTTCTACAACCACAGAGACATGCACCAAAACTCAGCAGCAGCCCATAAGCTATAATCCAATATGCAAAAACTTTAGAGATCAGGTTAGAATAGAATTGAGTCTTTACCACAAACTCTGATCTACTAATCCATTTGCAACCCGATGTCACAGAACTTTTATATTTCCAATTATAAATCCTGTTATATATTCTAAAGGAATTGCCTCAAATTTTCTATTCCCAAGATCTTTGAAACCTGATGGTGTAAATTTACACTATTTGATCTAACAGAATTTATAGTTTAAAATATTAAATACCTACGACATTGGGTTGCAAAGATATAGAGATGAACAATTTTTGATTTGTTTCAAAAACTAAATTCCATACAAACCATATCAGGTTGCATAGACATTGAGATTAGATAATTCGAATACAAGTATGTGACAAAAAAAAATGTCTTTTTTCATGAAATAACTTAGATAGATAGATAGATAGATAACGTTTATTGCTAAAATACATGTATCTGTGTACAGAACGAGTTTACAATTACAAATTGATGATTATATTAACAGTACAGGTATAAAGCAATTAGGTGGAAAATAGCTCTTGGCTGTTTTGATTATTTTGTCCACCTAATTTCAATGATGATAACAACACATTTCAATTGAATAGATTTAAGGAGAACTATTAGAGATCAGGGTGCGATTTAATCTTATGCAAAATAGTTTATACATTGATTAGAATAACTAGAGTTTAAAGTAATTTTCTGACATGTACACGACAAATGTCAAAGCATATTAAAACATATCTAATTAGTTTTACATGAATAGCAATTCGCTTTATGTAATATAATTTTCAAAAAGAGAATTTAGTAGTTTATTTTTAAATATGCTTAGAGAGTTGCTTCTTTTTAAGTCAAGAGGCAGGTTATTCCACATCTTAAGAAGAGAGCTTGATGGTAAATACTGAAATATGCAAATTTTGAGAATGTCAATTTAATAGTTAAGAGATCTTTCAAAGTTTCCAAGCTTTTTAAAAATGTTTTCAAAAGATGCCTAGGAAGAAGTTTTAAATTCTAAAATTGGAAAATGTTTCAGCTGGACAAAATTGGGAAGAAACCAATATCCCAACAAACTGAACAGGAACAACAATTAAAGGATTTTCTAGGATCTGATCCTGAGGAGGTGATTCAATACATCATTCATTCACAACTATGCACTTTAATACGCATTATCCTAAATGTATGATCTTGATATTTACAGTGGGCACTTTTATTTTTTTTGCAGAATATGCTTGATCTCTCATAATTTTGCAGAATATTCTTGATCACTCATAATTTTGCAGAATATGCTTGATCTCTCATAATTTTGCAGAACATACTTGATCTCTCATAATTTTGCAGAATATGCTTGATCTCTCAGAATTTTGTAGAATATGCTTGATCTCTCAGAATTTTGCAGAATATGTTTGATCTCTCATAATTTTGCAGAATATGCTTGATCTCTCATAATTTTGCAGAATATGCTTGATCTCTCATAATTTTGCAGAATATGCTTGATCTCTCATAATTTTGGATATCAGCAATTTTTCTCCTTGGCTGAATACAAAATTCCCTGACTTTTACTCTAGTTCATATTTAAAAAATCGTTAGTTCTTACAACAACGTTTACACAAAAATAACTGGCACATTATTTGTAGTGCTGTGCATTGTCATTTAGATGCTTAGAAAAAAATCTAGTTACGGTAGTTTTCCATCTTTTAAAGATAATAGTTTTGCAAAGTTTAATTAAAGTTTAATAAAAGTTCTATAATCTCGGAAGTTTTAAGAAAAGTTTTTAAAAAATTAAAAGCGATTAACAACACGTATTTTTTGTGACACATTGTTTTAAATAGGTTGTCCTGGTATCCCAAGATGAGCTGAGAAATAAAAATTCGGGTTTCAAAAAAGTTCATTGTTTTATGACTGGAATCCTGGGAGGTGGTTGGTGTGGCGTGTGTAAGACCGGAGCTAAACCGGTAAGAAATTTTAAGTTGAAAATTCTAATTTTTTGCTAATGATGGAATGGAGTTTTTGCCACAAACTCTGATTTTCCAACCCTTTGAAGCTAAACGAAACTAGTTACAACAATTAAATGGTTGGAACAATTATTCAATATTAATTAAAATAATCAAATGAATAATAAAAATAAAATTGACCCGAAAATGTAATTTTTCAAAGGCGAACAATTCTATAAGACATTTTCTTCTATAAATGTTTAAATAAAAGAAAAACCAATAATTTTATTGATATTTAAAGGGAGTATTCGCGAAAAATGAAAGGGGGTATAGGCTTAATGCGATTAAAAAGCGCTTTTGATCGCTAATAATCTTATTTCTATGATTCTATCTGTTGCGTCTATAAGGAGAAAATTATTAAATACGTCTCATACCGAATAACTTAGCGCACATACAAATTCAGAAAATTGCAACATATGACTTAGACCGTAAAAAAAATCAATTTAATTTTAAACAAATCATTCAGATATTACAACCTATAGTCATCGATTATCTTTCGCCACATTTGTATATAGTTTATATCTTATAATATTATTTAATTAATTTGTTTTGAATTTGATTATTTCTCTTGTCGCTTGCGCAACTATCTAAGAATGCCGCGCACCACTCACATTTTTCAAAATCCGTTAAAACGTTTTCTAAAAAAAAAATATAAAATATAAACTAATTACAAATGTGGCAAAAGATAATCGATGACTATAGGTTGTAATATCTGAATGATTTGTTTGAAATTAAATTGATTTTTTACAATTTTTTTATGTTGCAATTTTCTGAATTTGTATGGGCGCTAAGTTATTCGGTATGAGACGTATTTAACAATTTTCTCTTTACAGACGCAACAGATAAACGTAAAATTAGTAGCGATCAAAAGCGCTTTTTTATCGAATTAAGCCTATACCCCCTTTCATTTTTCGCGAACACTCCCTTTAAACTAAATTGGCTTATAAGGTCACTTCGCGCCTCCTTGCCATATAAATTAATTTAGCTTTTAACTGTTGTTCTGAAAGTCTGAAAGCTTTAAATCATTTTCAAATTTTGGCGGATTTTTCTTTTCGAATTGGCGCATTTTAAAAAAAGGCCAAATATTTTCCAGGATTTTTACGTCAAATTTTGATGTTCCATAAACCTTCCCTGAGGTCATGTGAGATCCCACACAAAATTTGGATACAAACGGACAGACACTTATACACCCAGACTAGCAAAAAAAATATAGATCACAATAATTTAACAAGTTTAGCAATTTATAAAATTAGGTCTAAGTCAAGCTTTAAATGTTAAAAAAGTAACTGTCCCCAGGGTGAGGGTGGATACTGCAAGGATGGAGTAGCTGAACCTGGAGAAGATCAAGGCTGGGGGTTTTGTCAAGCAGTGTGTGGAATGTAAGTATAATTCTATATTTACCTACTTTACAAGAAAGGCGGGGAAATGGGTTCCCTCACCAAATCTGTCATCAAAAATCCCAAGCTCTGAATGCTTATTAAATTATTAGAAATTAGATTGAATGGACTTAGTCTATATATACAGGGTGAGTCAAAAAAAAGTGTGATTTGCGGCGCCTGGTGCAAAATTGTACCTTTTTTGTGCAACTATCCTATATTTTGTATTTCAATATTTTTTGAAAATTTGTAATTTTTTTTTGGTATTCAATGGCACAAAAAAATCTGCGAACCTTTTTTCTCTCAAAATCAAAAGTTCAGAAAAGTAAAAATGTGATCATAAATTATTTCTATCGAAATCTAAAATTTTATAAAGATTGAATCACAGAAAATTGGCAAAATTGTAATAAGAAAATTCGCAATTTTTAGTTCTGGTCTAATTTTTAAGTAAAAGTAATCTAAATTCTCTAGTTCCTTTCTTCTTACTTTATTCTTAAGTATTAAATATACGCTGTTCATTTGAAACCTTAAGAACCATTGAAAAACAATTTTTCCGTAAAAATTATACCAGAACTGAAAATAGCTAATTTTCTTATTACAATTTTGCAAATTTTCTGAGATTCTGTGACTCAATCTTTTTAAAATTTTAGATATCGATAAAAACAACTTATTTACACATTTTTGTTTTTCTAAACTTTTGATTTTGAGAGAAAAAAAGGTTCGCAGATTTTTTTTGGGGTCATTGAAATACCAAAAAAATATTGAAAAAACACCATACAAGAGAGTTGCACAAAAAAGTACAATTTTGCAACAGGTGCCGCAAATCACACTTTTTTTGACTCACCCTGTATATAAAGTTGTAATCTCTGTTTGTCTGCCTATCTGTTTGTTTGTCTGATCATAACTCATGAACTGCTGGACCAATGTTCCTCAAATTTTGATTGGGAAGGGGGTGAGTCGACTATAAACGCGAAAATTTGGTTTCCCGGTAAAATCGTTCAAGTGCTGGTAAACGGCGGGAGTAACTTTTAGTAAGCTTGGCAGCGCCGGGTTCCCAAGCTAGTATTAAACATAAATAGACATGAATAGAAGTTAATATTTTAGATAAGTTTCTCCCATAACCTTTTTTTAGGGAAAAGGTAGCTACTTCGAGACTGAGAATGGCGTATCTCTACACCCTGAACCTCACAATCTGTAAAGGTAAAAATCGAACAAAAATAGAATTTGAGTATTTTTTTCTCAACTCAACCTATTTCAGAATTGTTAACCCTAAAAGCAGAGGGCGAACATGAAGTAAAGCAGTTTAACAGACTTCTTTAAAGGGAGTGTCTGGCTAGACACGGTAGTTGAGTTGAGAGTGCAGTATTGTCCTGGTTAATAGTCAGGCTATGAAAAATCCAGGAGGGTTTTTAATGATTGAATTTTAACTTTTTCTAAATTATACCCCATGCAAACGTCTTATAGGTCTCAAATGACTGCTATAAATGTTCTCCACAATACTGCATTCTCAGCTCAACTACCATATCTAGCCGAACACTCCCTTTAATATATTTTTATAAGCAATATGTTTTATTAAATAGGAGCTTTTTCATTGGAAACAACATTGCTTGTAAACTTTGGGTTGCAATTTGCAAAGCAATAGGGATTAAAAAATCAAAGACTTGATTTCTTTCTAACTGTTAAAACTGCTTCTAAACCAGGCTGCCTACATAGACACTGATGTAGAGCTTTGTGCAGGACATTTGTCAACTGTTAATTCATCTGTTGTCAGCTACACACTTAAAGGAAGGTTTCTTAACAGGAATACATTTCATTTTTTTAATTGGAAAGTTTTATTAAATTTTGATCGAATTATCCCGCATTTATTCACGCAATTTCATGATCTTGGGTATAAAAATTAATTGTTCCGAGGCAAACAGGGCACAAATTATACCGGCAAATCAGGTTTTCTTTTTTAAATTTCGAAGATTTTCAAAAAAAACAATTGCACATTTTTAAAGAGCTTGAATTGAAAAAATTAAAAAATCTATCCATCTTGTGTTATAATTTTTGAAAATCTCATTATACATTTTGATTTGTTTTAGGTTTAAACTCAATTTTTAAAAGTAAAAATTCCAAACAAAAATTATCGTCCCGCATGATAATACAAAACAGTAGAATTCAATTAGATATTTTTAGATTTTAAACGTCAATATTTCTTGTTGCACTGCCATCATGGATTTGCGAATTTTTTATGCTAAATTCATCAAGTTTTGTGCGAAATATTTAACTTTTTTAATTTTAAATATTTGAAATTTGACAAGAAAGGTGATAAAATATAAAATGTAAATTTTAAGACAATGAATATGCTTTCCAGCTAGAAAAAATTAATCACGAAGAATTAAGGTAATTAAAATTGATTTTAAACTTTGCACAAGAACATTGATAAAGGAACTATAAGAACGTTGATAAAGGAACTATAAGAACGTTGATAAAGGAACTATAAGAACGTTGATAAAGGAACTATAAGATAAAGGAACTATAAGAACGTTGATAAAGGAACTATAAGAACGTTGATAAAGGAACTATAAGAACGTTGATAAAGGAACTATAAGAACGTTGATAAAGAAACTATAAGCTTGAATTTTCTCTAGCTCCTATTTCTTTTCAGCAACTGTGTAAAGAGTTAATATTTTAACTTTGACTATTTGATTTTGTTTAAAGCATCAAGTCTAAAAATTTAGAACTTAAAAAATTAGAAAAATTAAAGATGAAAACAAGCAATAAAGGACATTTTGTTTGATATCGATTAATATCCAATGTGGGGACTATTAAATTGGAGGATCAATGCTTGATCCCTCGCGTAAAATTATCCCTACAGTGTATGACCATTACATGATCTCGATTAATCCTGCATAAAATGAAGATCAATTCTTAATCTTGAGATGCCCAACTCAAAAATGATATCATCAGTGCCTTTCGACTAAAACTTTACAGATGTTGCATCAAAACCAAGTTTTTTTTATAAATGTTAGAGACTCCATGGATGCGGTACACTGTACTAGAAATGTCGTCTCCATAGCTACAAAAACTCAAAATACTTATACGACGTAACTGAGTATTGGCAGTAGATAAAGAGACAATGTTGCTGGTGAGAGGGGGAAAGGATTTTCTCCTCTTGTCAGCTCTAAAATTAGGAGAAAATCCTTACCCCCCTCTCTCCCAGCAATGTTGTCGACGTTTTTATTTCACCTCCGGCCAATAGTTACGCCATATAAGAATTTTAACTGTCTCTTGCTATGCACATTTATAGTTCATTGGAGCGCATCCATGAGTATTGAACCTTAATAAGTAACCTTGATCTAAACTAATAATATTTTAGATCATCCAGAATAACTAACTCATCCCATTTCAAGTACAATAACATGTTGCTTGGTGGAGTAGATTCCTGCTCAGGTAGGTTGTATTTCAAGTACAACAACATGTTGCTTGGTGGAGTAGATTCCTGCTCAGGTAGGTAGTATTTCAAGTACAACAACATGTTGCTTGGTGGAGTTTATTCCTGCAAAGGAAGGTTGTGTTTCAAGTACAACAACATGTTGCTTGGTGGAATAGATTCCTGCCAAGGTAGGTTGCATTTCAAGTACAACAGCATGTTGCTTGGTGGAGTAGATTCCTGCCAAGGTAGGTTGTATTTCAAGTACAACAACATGTTGCTTGGTGGAGTAGATGCCTGCAAATGCAAAGGTAGGTTGTATTTCAAGTACAACAACATTTTGCTTGGTGGAGTAGATTCCTGCAAAGGTAGGTTGTATTTCAAGTACAACAACATGTTGCTTGGTGGAGTAGATTCCTGCAAATGCAAAGGTAGGTTGTATTTCAAGTACAACAACATGTTGCTTGGTGGAGTAGATTCCTGCAAAGGTAGGTTGTATTTCAAGTACAACAACATGTTGCTTGGTGGAGTAGATTCCTGCTCAGGTAGGTTGTATTTCAAGTACAACAACATGTTGCTTGGTGGAATAGATTCCTGCAAAGGAAGGTTGTATTTCAAGTACAACAACATGTTGCTTGGTGGAGTAGATTCCTGCAAAGGAAGGTTGTATTTCAAGTACAACAACATGTTTTTTGGTGGAGTAGATTCCTGCTCAGCTAGGTTGTATTTCAAGTACAACAACATGTTGCTTGGTGGAGTAGATTCCTGCTCAGGTAGGTAGTATTTCAAGTACAACAACATGTTGCTTGGTGGAGTAGATTCCTGCAAAGGAAGGTTGTATTTCAAGTACAACAACATGTTGCTTGGTGGAGTAGATTCCTGCCAAGGTAGGTTGTATTTCAAATACAACAACATGATGCTTGGTGGAGTAGATTCCTGCCAAGATAGGTTGTATTTCAAATACAACAACATGTTGCTTGGTGGAGTAGATTCCTGCCAAGGTAGGTTGTATTTCAAATACGGTGGAGTAGATTCCTGCAAAGGTAGGTTTTATTTCAAGTACAACAACATGTTGCTTGGTGGAGTAGATTCCTGCCAAGGTAGGTTGTATTTCAAGTACAACAACATCTTGCTTGGTGGAGTAGATTCCTGCCAAGGTATGATGAATCTGAATAACATGGTTTAAACTCTATTTTTTAGGTTCTATAAATATTCCATCAAAATTACCCAAATTTTCAAGATTTTAATCCTAGCAAAAAAATTAGTTTGCCAAACCTTTTTCTTTAATATTTATTTGGCCTAATACTCCTAGCGCCCAAAATTCTTCAAAATGATAATATTTTTATTTTGTTTTCGTGATTAAATAAAATAAAATAATTTTTGAATGATTTCTTTTTTAACGTCAATTTTATTATACAAGCTTGGAAACCCAGTGCTTGCTAAATATACTAAAGTTACTAAAGTCGACCTACTCAACTCAAACCAAATTAGCACATTCCCGTTGGTCTCCGGAGTTCCAAAATCAAAATTTGAGGCAAAACGGTCCAGGGGTACCTGAGTTATGATTGGACAAAGAAACAAACAGACAAACAGAGATTACAACTTTATAAAAAATGATAAAATAGTAATTTCTATTATTCAAATCTATTTATTGTTCAAAAAGCACAAATACAATAAAAATAAACTTCATATATATATCAGAAACATATACATTCTGAATTTTATAAGTTTTGCATAGAGCATCATCTATTTATAAAAATTAATCGTAAGTATTGATAAATGACACATTTTTTGGATGTTGTAATTCAATAAAGTAAATTCAGTAAAGTAATTTCAGTAAAGTAAATTCAGTAATAGACGACCAATAAGAAATCGTAGGTACAAAAACTATGAAGGTGAGCAGAAAACAAAATACCAAAATAAATAAAATAGTAATGATAGTAAAGATATAGTAAAGATCTAAACATTTAGTTGACTAATAAAAATGCTTCAGGTGACAGTGGAGGTCCTCTCTGGGTGACTGAAAGTGTATATCTAAATGGTGGGAGTCAAAAGAGAGCATATCTTGTTGGTATTGTTAGTAGGGGCAGAGAATGTGCTAACAAGGATCTACCAGGTTAGTAGGGGTAAGGAATGTGCTAACAAGGATCTACCAGGTTAGTAGGGCCAGAGAATGTGCTAATTAACAAGGATCTACCAGGTTAGTAGGGGTAGGTAATGTGGTAACAAGGATCTACCAGGTTAGTGGGGCAGGGAATGTGCTAACAAGGATCTACCAAGTTAGTGGGGTAGGTAATGTGGTAACAAGGATCTACCAGGTTAGTATGGGCAAGGAATGTGCATACAAGGATCTACCAGGTTATTAGGGGTAGGTAATGTGCTTACAAGGATCTACCAGGTTAGTGGGGCAGGGAATGTGCTAACAAGGATCTACCAGGTTAGTGGGGGTAGGGAATGTGCTAACATGGATCTACCAGGTTAGTAGGGGCAGGGAATGTGCTAACATGGATCTACCAGGTTAGTAGGGGCAGGGAATGTGCTAACAAGGATCTACCAGGTTACTAGGGGTAGGGAATGTGCTAACAAGGATCTACCAGGTTACTAGGGGCAGGGAATGCGCATACAAGGATCTACCAGGTTACTAGGGGTAGGTAATGTGCTTACAAGGATCTACCAGGTTAGTGGGGTAGGTAATGTGGTAACAAGGATCTACCAGGTTAGTAGGGGCAGGGAATGTGCTAACAAGGATCTACCAGGTTAGTAGGGGCAGGGAATGTTCTAAAAAAGATTAACCTGGTTAGTAGGGGCAAAGAATGTGTTAACAAGGATCTACCAGGTTAGTAGGGGTTGGTAATGTGCTTACAAGGATCTACCAGGTTAGTAGGGGTAGGTAATGTGCTTACAAGGATCTACCAAGTTAGTAGGGGTAGGGAATGTGCTAACAAGGATCTACCAGGTAAGTGGGATAGGTAATGTGCTAACAAGGATCTACCAGGTTAGTAGGGGCAGAGAATGTGCTAACAAGGATCTACCAGGTTAGTAGGGGTAGGGAATGTGCTAACAAGGATCTATCAGGTAAGTGGGATAGGTAATGTGCTAACAACGATCTATCAGGTTAGTAGGGGCAGAGAATGTGCTAACAAGGATCTACCAGGTTAGTAGGGGCAGAGAATGTGCTAACAAGGATCTACCAGGTTAGTAGGGGCAGGGAATGTGCTAACAAGGATCTACTAGGTTAGTAGGGGTAGGGAATGTGCTAACAAGGATCTACCAGGTAAGTGGGATAGGTAATGTGCTAACAANATAGGTAATGTGCTAACAAGGATCTACCAGGTTAGTAGGGGTAGGTAATGTGGTAACAAGGATCTACCAGGTTAGTGGGGCAGGGAATGTGCTAACAAGGATCTACCAGGTTAGTACGGGCAGGGAATGTGCTAACAAGGACCTACCAGGTTAGTATGGGTAGGAAATGTGCTAACAAAGATTAACCAGGTTAGTAGGGGTAGTTCAGGTTCTAATAAGGATCTACCAGGTTAGTAGGGGCAGGGAATGTTCTAACAAGGACCTACCAGGTTAGTAGGGGTAGGGAATGTGCTAACAAAGATTAACCAGGTTAGTAGGGGTAGTTAAGGTTCTAACAAGGATCTACCAGGTTAGTAGGGCCAGAGAATGTGCTAACAAGGATCTACCAGGTTAGTAGGGGTAGGGAATGTGCTAACAAGGATCTACCAGGTTAGTAGGGGCAGGGAATGTGCTAACAAGGATCTACCAGGTTAGTAGGGGCAGGGAATGTGCTAACAAAGATTAACCAGGTTAGTAGGGGTAGGTAATGTTCTAACAAAGATTAACCAGGTTGGTAGGGGTAGGTAAGGTTTTAACAATAATTTACTAGGTTAGCAAAGGAAGGCAAGAAAAATAAGGAAAATCCAGCTATATTGATTTTTATAATTTTTTATTCTCTTTCTATAATGTATATAAATTGTCCATATATAGTTTCACAAATTGTTTTTTAATACATAATATGTATTCATTTAAAGTATAATTAATTATTTATCTAAGAATAAAAATTAAGGTGTTTATGGGCGAGTAAAGACAGTTCTTGATTGGATAAAAGAAATAGCTTCAGCTCCTCAAAATTATTCAAAAAAAGGAGATTTTGGTCTCGTAAGTAGTTTTTATAGACACATTTTAATTAGTTTTTTTTTTTAATTAGCAATAGAATTTAATTTTGCAAATCGAACCGTCAAAGAAACAATTATCTTCAATGTATAATCTACCTTTACTTGAAGTTTTTTTTTAAATCAGAATTTTTATTCTGCCGCAAATTCCAGATTTTCTGCGCTACCTAATGAAGAACAAATTCCGTGTAAAAATGCGCAAATTCTGCGTAAACAATACGCGGAATTTGTTATTGCAAATTGAACACAAATGGCACAAATTCCGTGAAAATTCTGGGCCAAAAAAAAAGATTGCGCAAAGTTTCTTATATTTCGCTTAATTCAGTTTTTATTCTGTTTTTATTCTGTTTTTATTCCGTTTTTATTTTGATTTTATTCTGTTTTTATTCTGTTTTTATTCTGTTTTTATTCTGTTTTATTCTGTTTTTAATTCTGTTTTTATTCTGTTTTTATTCTGTTTTTATTCTGTTTTTATTCGTTTTTATTCTATTTTTATTCTGTTTTTATTCTGATTTTATTCTATTTTTATTCTGTTTTTATTCTGCTTTTATTCTGTTTTTATTCTGTTTTTATTCTGTTTTTATTCTGTTTTTATTCTAGAATGATATTCTACTAAGGATTGGAGAAACAAGAATGATAACTCCGTTTTGGGAGGAACCACCGGATAGATCTGGAAATATCAAAGTATATCTTTTATTCTGTATGTAAACCCATCTTTAACTGGAAACTATACTTTCCCTTAAAAATGGGCACCCACTAAACTTAGAATTTTTAAACCCAGCTTAGAAAATTCTTATGGTTCTCCAAAGTTCCTAAAACTAAATTTGACGCAAATCGGTCAACAGGTTTACGAGTTATGATCGGACAAACAAACAAACAAACAGAGATTATACTACTCTATAAATATAGATATCAATTAAAATTAAATAACGAGGTAAATTCACGAAGTATTTGCTCCAAACTCTGATTTTCTAATCTTTACACCTTTGCAACCTATTAGTGATATATTTGATGTTTTAAAATTCATAGTAAAGCTATAGAAGGTTATAAAATCAGAGGTTTGGGTAAAAACTCAATTCTTTTGAAAGGATCGTTTTTTATATTTATTTAAAGTTATGAATGGCTTAATTTAAAAGTGAAGGTTTGAAGAAAAAACATTTTTTACAGCTAAAAGTACTGAGTTATTTGTGCAAATTCTGATGTTTTTAACTCCTTTATCTTAGGAACCCGATGTCTTATACCTTTGATATTTCACACTTTGAAATAATTCTTTAAGATAAAATAATCTAATCAAATATTCCAAAATCCCTTTCTGTGATAACCTTGTAAATGACGAAAAAATAAGCATTTTAACGTGACATCAAGAAAGTTAGTTATCCTTGTGCCCTTGCCTCCTTCTATTATACATTTTTTAAATTTTAAGTTTTGCTTGTTTAATATATTTTAGCATATTTATTTTAGAAAAAGAAACACAAGAAGAATAAGAAAAAAAGATCCAAGGCAAGTTGTATCCTTTACTATGTAAAACTTAAATCTAAAATTTAAAATTAAGTTTTTGCTTAAAAAAGAGACCATTCGGTTAATTTGGGTAATTTTATGATAAACTAAATAGCCTATTCATTGGTATATACGTCTTAATTTTCAAAGATAACTATGGCCAGAAAAATAGCAAATTTATCTTTTAGAATTTCAGTGCAAAGACACTATTTAATAATTTTTTCAGTAGTTTCGGCAGCACAATATAATCTAAAATTATTATGTTTTAATTACATCATGTGTCAACCATTATATAAAAAAGTATGACAACTTTTGATTTTAAAATTAGCAAGAAGTTTACGATTTTTATGTTCAAACATGATTTAACATGCTTATACAAAGACGACCTTCTCTATTCTCTCCTTCAAACCGGTTCCTAGATTCCAACTCGTGGATTTCTGGGGAAGTAGGGAACGTATCAATCTGTCAAATAAACACTTTTTAAATAGCTTTTAAAAAATTTAAGTTATTTACAATTTACTATTAGATTCTACAATTTAATTCAATATTTGAACATTTTTCAAAATCCATGACTTTAACAAAAAGCATCAAATAATAGTGTAAATGCAAATATATCATACCTTTGCGCTCGAATTCTGAACGAAAAATCAGCTTTTAATCCAGCCACAGTTGTCTTTGAGAAGTAAGACTAATACCGATGAATAGCTAATAGGCTATTTAGTTTACCCTCAAATTACCCAATAAGTGAAGTCCCTTTTAAAATCCTATATAATTTTGTTATTTCTTTATTTCAGAAAAAGAAGAAAAAGAAAAATAAGAAAAAGAAGAAATCCAAGAAAAAGAAAAAGAAACCAAATAAATAGCTAAATCTGTTAATGCAATGAACCTCTCATAAATAAACAAGGTTTCCCCAGAGTCGACTTTAAAATGTTTATAAAAAGTTAATGACTGAGTGTACACTGTATACTATACAAATATGCGGAGCGGATGTGTTAAAAAGGTTGACATCTTTTGAGCCATATGTCTTATGTCTACTTTCTTTAAACCTTTAAAAAGAAGTGAAGACCCTCACCGCAAACTTAAATTTTTGTATCTTTAAATTTCTTAAACTTGATGGTATCAGCCTTTGATATTGCCAGCTTTGACTGCTTGATTTGATTCATGAAATATTAAAGGTCTACGACATCAAACTGCTAAAATATGAAGGTCAGAAAAATTAAGTCTAAGAATAACTTTCAGATACTTTATGGAGATAATTAGAAATATTCAATTATTTGAATATGAGTAATCATTAAACCAAAATCTTATAATATTTCTATTTCCAGGTAGAGACAGTCAAACTACATTTAGACTATAGGTTTTAGATTGCAACTGCTTTAAGTGAAATATTGCGCGTTAAAAAATCGTTACTTTATATTCATTTTTATTGGACACCTCGTATAACTAGGAGACCTATAAAACCCCAATGATCCGACTATAACCACTTAATTCTCATCTTTATTAGAAAACCTCTAGTATAACTAGGAGACCTATAAAACCCCAATGATCTGATTATAACCACTTAATTCTCATTTTTATTGGGGACACCTAGTATAACTAGGAGAACCTATAAAACCCCAATGATCTGATTATAACCACTTAATTCTCATTTTTATTGGGGACACCTAGTATAACTAGGAGAACCTATAAAACCCCAATGATCTGACTATGACCACTTAATTTTCATTTTTTTTCTAGTATAACTAGGAGACCTATAAAACCCCAATGATCTGACTATAACCAGGGTTTGTATTATCTGAGTGGCTAGTAAAGATATGCCTAAAAAACACAAGTTTAGTTAATCACTAGTAAAGAAGTATATCTCCAAATATCGATCCTTAACTAGTGTCAATAAACAGGCATATAACCAAAGAGAATAGAATATATATTAGAGGGGAATTTACTAGAAAAAAGTGTAAAACATCCATTTTGTTTTACTGTTTCCATACTGCAGGTGTACTTCACATATTTATGATATATAACCTGTTGGGCCCTGGAATATCATTTTATAGAAAATCTAAAATTAATGTTGATTGACCAATGATCATATCACATAGACTCTATGCCTTTCACTTTACAAACGACGATTTTCCGTTATAACTATAAATTAAATGATGTTTTTTATTCACCTGATTCATTATAAAGTTTATTTAAGAGCTTTAAAAAATTCGAAATTGAAATGAATAGTCTAGGGAACATACTGTATATTTACATGATTTGTACACTTTGAACTTACTTTCAGACTGAAAGGGTCTGAAAAAATTCATACCGAGAGATTCTTTAAATTCTCCTCTAATATATTTTCTATTCTCTATGCATATAACCCATTTTTTATCAAAAGATCTATCCACAAAATCCACCTGCTAACTGGTGCAATCAAGATGTAGGTTAATATTATATATCCCATGATTTAAGCTAATTATGCTACGTATTCTAATGAACCCCAGTTTTAATGTTTTCACCTTTAAGTTTACAATTATAGATTGTTAGTAATATACAACGTACTGCAGGTTTACAGAATATCATGTTGCACAATATTTGCTACATGGCTGTCCCAAGGGTAAAACACGTGTACTGCCTAAAATATAGTCTGCATTAATGGCTTATTTATTGATTATAGCAAAAACCATGCATCTAATGATTATCGTTTTCTTTCTTTCTTTCAATAAATTTTTTTATAAAATCTTATGCTGCTGATCATTTTCAGTACACATTTTTAGATATTAATTGGTTTTAATGTAAAAAAAATCCTGGAAACATTTTGTAACTTCAAAAACTAGAAAATAAAAATGATTCCATTATTTTTTTTTCCAATTTTGTTTCACATATATATAGCGCACAAAATACTTATCCCATGTGTTCAAGATTTTTATCTTTTGAGCGCTCACGATGGACTTTAAAAATCGATGAAGAAAAAGTGTGTAAAGTGTTTAAAGAGTCTATTCAAAAACCTATGTTCTGTGAAGTAAGGGAGAAACAAAAAGAGAGACGGTATATATGTTACATATAGAAAGATTTAATGCTTAACAGGGATGGATATTTAAAAAAAAATTAGTTTATCAGGTTTAAAGGGATCACCATGGAGTTGGGGGGGGGGGGGGGGGGGGTTTTAAAAAGCTGGGTCTAAAACCCCCCCCCCCCCCCCCCTCTCGTAAAGTCTAACGTGTGTTGGACCTCCAACCTTTGCCTGTTTTTACCACGTGATCCCCCCACCGTGCCTTCAATACAGGGTTGTAGTACAGATACACATCAATACTACGTTAGACCCATAACACTATAGAATACGAAGACGACTTTCTAAGTGAAGTGGGTCTTTTTATACACCATATTTTCTGTGTTTCTCGTTCATTAGAGAAATAAAAACCATTATTTGAGTCTAACCTATTTTATAGGGCTATGGGTCCTGCTACTTGATGAAAATCAATTGCGATTTGTGCCAATTTTTCAACATAGGGCTATTTGATCTTTGTATCGAACAAAAAGCAAAATAGTTAAAAGTTTCTAATAAAACTAAAATATAATATTTTAAATGATGAAACATTTTAAACCTTAAAAAGACACTCGGGGGATAAGCATTAATCTTGACTTAATA